CATTAGGTAACCAAAGTATCTGAGCTTGAGCTTCATTATCAATCCTTCCAATGAGCAATCAGGGTTGATTTCCAATATCTACTTAGAGGTAAATCCCATTTAGTTTAATGGAGCTTTCTTACAAGTAAGTGAGAACAAGTTCATAGGATTGGTATGAATCTCCATATACTTGTGCTAGGAGTTGCTTTTTAATGCAGTAACAGAAAAAGATAATTGGCATGGCAAAAAATAGGGTTTGACTTTCAGCATCTTGTATAAAATATGAGTGGAACTGCTGAGACCTACAGTTGTAATCAGATTCAAGAACTGTTATAATGTGCTTAGAACATCTTACACTATCAAATATCCTTTAACTGCAAAGCACTTAAATATTTAATAATATGGCCAAGATGTTCTGAAAACAGTCTTCTGGTGCTAGGAAAAGGCTAGTATAAAATTAGCTGTATAAACTTGTCTTCTCAATTTGCTGCTCTCCAGATGTGTTGGACAGTAATATAGACAATTTCTATAATTATCAGCCAGCAAGGTATTATAATTGAACAGTGTGACAGATGCATGGTTAGGAGATACTGGCCTAAACTCTTACTGTACTGTATGGTGAAAATATAGTATCTTTAAATATAATATTTCTAATGGCATATGTAAGCAGCTGTTTTGATGACTCACATATGACAAAGCTGAATACCATTCTACCATTCATTCTTTATCACTTTATGGTAACTAAGACATATAAGTGTCTATATATTTTCAGTGTGGTGGATAAACATGAATGAACTTTACAATAAAAAAGTAATATATTTAATATTACAAACAACTTTATAATTGTTGAGACAATTGCAGTATAGCTTTTTAAAATTATCATTTGTAAAGAAATCTGAAATTAAATTCAAATAAGCAAGCAACTCTAATTTTTTATGATTTTTAAAACAAGATCTTAACTATCTAGCAAACATTGTTCAGAGTTTGTGTCTTTATAGAACAGAGTTCTTCAGGGATGAGGGAAATGTGTGTGTGTGTGTGTGTGTGAGAGAGAGAGAGATCCGAGTGTACCATAATAGATGACTGCTGTGATTTATGTACAGATTGCATATTAAATCCAGTTAAAGGCACTCAAGTATCCTTTTTCTCTCAACATTCATCAGTTGATCCCATCAACTGAGTTATATACTCTTCCATCTCATCAAGCAGCCTCCCAAACATGGTACCCTCCAAATATATTGGACTACAACTCCAATTAAGCAGCAAGGTTGACATAATGAATAGCATTTGACCTTCAAAAAATTATTATTGTGATAATGCAATATGGAATATTCTCATACACTGATGTGTTTATCTATGACCAGGTCCAGGATACTCTGTTAAATTCTCCCTTGTACCTGATGTTCTATTCATTCTGCCCAAGTTATCTACTTGATTGTTTGGGGGGGGGGTTATCTTAATATTCTCCCCCAATATGTATTTCTGCAAACTATGGATTTCTAATTAATCCCTATTAAAACAGCAATTTTTCTATAGGGTGCTATCTAGGATGCCTGACAAAGTTAAAAATAGGACAAGTGTTTTTATATATAAATATGTACATTTATATTTCAGAAGCTCCATGATAGCAGTAATCCAGCAAGATCTTTCCCCAGTAGCATTTCACATTCTGCTACAAGTGTTCCTTATCGGACAGTGAAAAGTGTGGATTCAACTGATGAAAGCTTTTCAGATTCTGATGAAGATAGTGGTCTATGGAAGCGAAAGCGGCAGAAATGTTCAAACCTTCCTCCCCTCAAACCAGAGCTTTACCAGTTTGCTCCAAACCCTCACAAACAAATCCCAGTGGGGGCTAAAAAGATCAACAATATATGGGGTGAAGTTCTGCAGAAACAGAATCAAGATGATATGGCAAAGGAACTTGGGATTTTATGGATGGATGGCAGCCTTGACAAAAGCCGAGCGTCAGAGACCTACAACTACTTGTTAGCAAAACAGCTGATAAAAAAATCTGAATCAGAAGTAGTTAAGACATTAGACAAAGAGTTGGATGAATATATGCAGGATGATAAAAAGACTTTATCAAAAGAGGAGGAGGAAGAGGTGAATAGACAAGGTCTCTGGAAACGGAAAAGGCCCATAAAGGACAGATTAGGTCCAAGGCAAGAAATGAATTATAAAGGGAGGTATGAAATTACGGAAGATGATCCTGAAGAAAAAGTGGCAGATGAAATTGCCTACCGGTAAGATTTTGATCTTTTATTTAAGAGATGGCTAGATTTTCAGCGAAAGCCATATTTCAAGATAACAGCAAAGCTTGTGGAAGATCAACATATTCTGGTTTTGAATAGTTTCTTACTAAAGCATTGTTTGATCTTAAAGAAAAACTATTATTTAGATAAACAACTTTAAAGTCCATTCACGTGTTATGTTATCCAGAGTGTTAAATGGGTGACTGCTCCAGATCTTTCTCTTTCATAGACAACATGCATATACACACCTATCCATGTCACTGTAATTATAGCTGGAGAAGGAAAGCTGCTTGATACCAAGTATGCCAAATATTACTAGAACTTGTAATAGTAGATTTGTTTTTGAAAATATTGTCACTCAAATTTGTTAGGAAATACAAAATTTCCAGTTTTCATAAACTTTTCTTTCAGGCTTTATGAACCAAAGAAGGAACTAATTGCAAGGATAGTGAAAATTATTGGCAAAAAGAAATCTATTGAACTACTGATGGAAACAGCTGAAGTGGAGCAAAATGGAGGTCTTTTAATCATGGTAAGAAATAATTTGTCATGTAATTTGTTAGAATTACACCCTAACTGATACTAAATGAGACAAGAGGGTATTTCCTTCCCTATATTTTTCCTGCTTGCTGTCATTTTTATTATTGTTACTCTCACTTTTGTCCAGTCTGATTCCATTACCCATCACCAGCCTTTGTTGCTACCAACCAGGCAGGTCCACTTCAGCAGCCACTTTACCTACCAAGTTCCTCCTCTCATATCCACAAGCATTATCCCTATCAGATTAGCTGTATTTCTATCAGATATTTTCTCTTGGCAATTCTACCTTGCTGTAAAAGCACATTATATTCATATCAATCTTGTTTGAATTACATTGCATTGTCAGGTCCTGTTAGGGTTACAGATTAGTCATTTGGGTCAATCAAACATTGTTAGTGACCAGTTTTTTTTACTGTGGTCAAATAAGCCTAGATGCTGATGATGGTTAATGAATTAGCTTATTGCATACTTAAATTCTCAGTGGAAAAATGCCTTTGGTTTTCTAATAGTTTCTTTTATTCTTGATTTTATTTTCTTTTAAATGTAATTGTAGTTTACGAAAAGTCAAACAGAAGACCTGTTCAATGAATCATTAAAACTTACAGAACACTTACTTAACAAAATTAAGCTATCATTCATTATAATTTTAAAATAATAATTGTTACAAGTTAAGTGTAAAATGTAGATGATTAATGATTTACAATATTTGACCATGATTTGACAGATTAGTTGATGAAATATTTTAGCTCCTCAAATACACACACCTGGTAAAATGATTAGACTTTGTAGTATTCAGCTGTATTAGATGATTGTACTCTTTTCAAGAGGCTTCAAAAGTTTTTAAGGTATTATTACCTGATTGAGAGTATTAATCTCATTTTCAGCCCAAGTTCTCCCTCCCCTCCAAAGTCTTTCTAGCTGTTTTAAAATAGGAATTAGTCCACAGCATCAATTTCTCATGAGAGCAGGAATCTATTTTAATTTTCTTCCCAGTGGGACCCAGATGTGTTTAACTATCTTCAGTATTGAAGAAAAAAATAACCAAATTCTTGCTATTATCAGAACCCAGACTTTGCCAGGAGTTAAAGATACCAAGTATCTCACTCTAGTTGAGCCTACAGTGGTGAATAATCAGTGTCTATTCCATACGAATACATTATTGAAGTTAACACACATGCTTAATTATAATTAAAGTCAGGAAAGTTAAACTACCTTCATTAAGTAAAAGCAGTAGCTTTGAAAGAGAAATGCTAGGTGTTCATTCCTTCCATAAAAATGTAACTATTAATTTGTCAATGTTTGAAATATTTCAGAGAAACCAATACTGATATTTGTCTCAAAATAGTTACCAATCTTGAAGCAATATTCATTTTCATCACATTTATTCTACCCCACAAATTTAGGGACATTTTCATTGATCTCTTTAATTTGGTTAATACATTTTAAAATAATTGTAGCCACAAAGCAGGATACCTTTTTAGGAATTATAATTCCCTGGTATTTGATAGATTCTGGAAAATAAACTCTAAATCTTTATCTACATCCTTAGTACTTCATTGCCTATGGTGTAATATTAGACATTCCAAGTTACTGTATTCCCAGAATATTTCCAGTATAACTGTACAATTTCAATAAATTTAAGTAAAGATCACTGATAATCATTAAAAAAAAAAACCAAAATACTATCTGCATATAGTAACAATTTGCATTCCAATTCAGGTTCCACACATTTCCTGGATATCACCACTTTGATTTATTATACACATTAGGAGTTCCAGCGCCAAATTAAGTATAATGGGAGATAAAGGACATCCTTGACACCTTCCACATGCATTTTGATTCCAGGAAAAATAAGCTAATTCATATTTACACGAGCAAAAGAATTGGAATAATGCATTTTTATTCACAAAATAAAACCTGTGAGAAATTCTTCATCACTTGCACCAAAAATTTGATTTGTACCATAGTAAAAACTTTCTTTGCATCTAATGTTGCCAAACCAAATGTGTCATTTATGTCAACATAAACAGCTATCTTGTCTACCAAAAGTCTAATATTATATGAGACCTGATGCCCTTTCATGAAACCCATTTGTGATGGACCTATTTTTCAAAAAATTCTTGATGCATCTCTAGCACTGTAGGAGCTGCACTATCCTAAAATTTTGATTAAATCATTTTCTAATTTTGCTCTTGAACAAAAGATTTTAGGGTCTGAAGGATATTTATAATTATGGTGGTTAAAAATAATTGGGACCTGGATAAAGTTTTATGGCCCAACTAAAGATAAACCTTGTACTTTACATACCTAAGTTATAGGTGATCAAGAAAAGTGTTGCTGGAGGCTTCATTTAAGTTTGGATCCATTAATGAATCAGAATAAAATGTCAAGGAAAAAAAGTGACTTTTAAGAGTGGTAATGACTTCATGCAGACATCTGGGGATTCAGTTTAATGATATACCATATATACTCGCATATAAACACATCCGTGGATAATTTTTAACCAAAATACCATGAAAAATGCACCATCCCTGGATAAACTGACCATCAAAATGTTCATATGTTTTAATTTTCACAATTAGCTTATCGCAAGCAAATTTTGTGTTTCCACACACACATAAGACATGGTCAATCTAGTTTCTAACAAATAATTCCTCAGAGAGGACATGAGTTTCTTGTAACCAAAAAACCCCCTTCAGACCTAATCATGTTCAGTTTATTAAAAATCTTCCTCTGCTTGTCTATGCCTCTCAACTCTTTAACATTCCGTATCATGAATATTGTCATTTTAAAAAATACACAATTATGGAAAATAATTAGGTCCCTGGTCTATATACAAATTTTCAAAAAATTCAGTAAATTATAATTTCATTTTAAACACTATAATGTAATTAAAAAAACACTTTTTTTAATAGGCAAGCTTTAAAAAGGATATTAGAAGTAGAACAAAGGAAGCACACAACATTCTGATTAATGTAACTATCATGGTCAAATCTATATACAGAACTACATGGAACTATAAATAATAAACGAGGAAATATTTTTTAAAAACTGACTAAAATTAAACAGTAAAGGGACTCTAGCTTGGTACATGCCAAGGACAGAGAAACCCTGCTTTTCCTCTCTCCTAAACTGCAAAAATAAAAAAGGAAGGAAGAAAATAACAAAAAAATTGAAGAGTACATACTCTTTACATTAAGTATATATGTTACCAATATAACCTTCAAACCAAGAAATCATTTCTGGGTAGTGCCCTAAGATCATTAACTAGGTCACTGAATTTCCTTCTTTCCTTTCCATCCAGGGATAAGCCCAAAATTGCAGGATATCAAAAGAAGTTTTTTATCCTCTTTTACCTGGCCGCAGGGTGTGTTTGGTGGAACTCTTTACAATTTTTATGATGCATGAGGCAAATCTGGAAATAATGTGAGAGTTCTTTCCCCCATAATCCAACATTTAGATTATTACATTTGCTTGTAATATTTTCTATCCCATTCAGACCTGCAAAGATTCAACAACAGGATTGGGGGATTGTGAATTCTTATATCTTGAAGGTACCCAAGAGACTGTGTCAATCCAATCAGCACAGTCTAATTGAAACAGCTCCTAAAGGCGTTTTACTTCGACATCTGCTAAAGTGTGTTTATGTTCCAAATAAGGAAAGTTGATAAGGCATTTTTTTCCTCTACATGCATGACCTTGGATCTGTTCCAGAGCTGCTTGGCAAGCCAGCAGCTCTTTATATCTTGTTTTGTCTTGAGTGACTAATGTTAGAATTGATTTCTCATTTGCCTCATTCCTTGTTTCTTGTTCTTTTAACTATTTCTTAATATCATTAGATTTTTTTCTCCATGTGCTCTACTTTGTCAGCATACTCTGAGAGGTGGCAGTTTATTGCTTGTAACGTTACCAGAATCTCAAAATTGGTCACATCTCAGACAGAAACATCTGATGGAATTTCAGGAAGGAGAATTGCTGTTTGAGTATTTCTCTTTTGGGTTGGGGTTTCAGCTAGACCCTAACAAGAGATGTGTGGATAATTTATCACTCAAAATCTCACTCCCAGCTATAATGGCTTCTACAAAAACCAGAGTTGGGAGGGCTGTCTGAAGGAAGTCTTCACAGTGGGAGAAGAAGCCAAAGGGGAAAGAGACTGCCTCTTAGATTTCCAAGGTTATTTTTTATCTCTCCAAAATACTAGGACTAACAAATAACAATATAATTTGTATTTTGCTCACCAGCTCTTTTCAAAAATAATTCACAAGTACTGTTTTCACAAATTGTGGAAGGCTAGAAAAATCAATTGCATTGTAACACATCACTATCTTGCCAGAAAACCTCAGAAGAAACAAAATATGGTAGAAACCATAATCTCAGCTGACTGGCTGCTTTATGCCTTGAAACACTTGACTCTTCAAACAATATTTTTTATATTACACAGGCAAGCTTTCAACAATTATATAAAGCCCTGTTAGTATTTTTTACAGGTAACTAATATTTTCATTTCCTTTTCTCTCTGTATCTCAGATGAATATCCAGATAATATCCCAAGTAACAATACATTTGACATGTTTTACCCTTGCTGCTTTTAAAAGGTTTATTTTTTCATCATTCAGGATGGTTCTAGAAGAAGAACACCAGGTGGAGTTTATATAAACTTGCTGAAAAGCACACCTTGCATAACCAGTGAACAAATCAAGGTATATGATGTTAATTTATCCATTCCAATACACAGCATAGTTTTACATAACTTTGAAAAAATGCTTTTTAAATATAATATTCTGGCTTTACTTTCTTATTTTCCTTTATGCATTTTATGAAATAAGCTGTTTTCTATCCTGATAGCCCAAGCTTTCATTATTAATTTTCTTAGTTTTGCAGTGGTTATGCTTAAGAAATTTCAGGTTCCACTCTTTCTCATATAGCTGCAATCATGCAAAAAAGAACTGACAAAAAAACTGTACATGCAAAATTAGCATTCCCTAATCATTAAATTCTTCAGTCTGCAGACAGCTGCCTACAAATAAAGTTATTATTCCCAATAATATAATGATGCAATAATCCAAGCTGTCAAACTAGCAATGATAATTCTCTTATTGAAGGCATGAGCCTCTGTTGTAGTAAGTCAGCTAAATAATTAAAGGACTACCACCCCACTGTTGTGTTCTGTATTTGGATCCTGTCCAACTCTATCTGAAAGAAGTATAGAATTGATGGTGGTAACTCTCCCTACTGCTTTTCTTTATTTCACAGCCTTTGTAAGGCTGCTTTGTAGGGTGCATTTTTTAATGTATAACAAAGAAAAGCATATATAGCTTTCAGAATGCATAGAATTCCAAAAGTGGAAAGAAGAGAGCGCTGAGTATATGGACTCATCCACTTTATTGCTTAGTGGCTGTCTCTTCTAATACTAAAGATAAAGGGGAGGACTCTCATATAGAGTCTCTATTCAGGTATGTGTTTTGGAAATATAACATGGGCATACCAACAACCTAGATGGCTTTCTACAGGTAGTCCTCGACTTACGACCACAATTCAGACCGGAACTTCCATTGCTAAGCAATGCAGTCATTAAGGGATTCATGTCTGATTTTATAACCTTTTTTGGTGGGGTCGTTAAGTGAATTACATGGTCATTAAGTGAATCCGGCTTCCCCTATTGACTTTGCTTGTTGGAAGCCCCCTGGGAAGGTTGAAAATGGTGATGGCATGACCCCAGGATACTGCAGATGTCATAAATACATGGCAGTTGCCAAGTACCTGAATTGTGATCACATGACTGTGGGGATGCTGCAATGGTCATAACTGTGAGGATCGATCATTTTTTTCAGTGCTGTCGTAACTTTGAATGGTCATTAAATGAATGGTCATAAGTCGAGGACTACCTGTACTTTCTCAAAACTAGTTCTTTGAGTCCAGCAGGATCTTTGTGCTTCTGCATATTTATTCAGAATTTATCCTTGTAGCATATTTCATATCTACAATAAACTGGCTCATTTTCCTGATTTTTTGCCTCCTACTTTTCAAAAGATTGGCAATCCAAAACATACCTCTCAATTTTTAGAAACTTTCTCAATATTATAAATGGTGAGGTGGCAATTATTTTACAACAAAGCATTCCTTTAACTCTAGAGAGCAGAATAATACATTTTCAAATAATTCTGCAACAATATTTGGAAAAATAGTGGCTTTTTAAAAAAAAGACTTTTAGGGGTTTTTGTCATGCAGTCACAGTTTATGTCTAAAAGTTGGCTGAGGCAGCTAGTGTTTTGCAAAAGCTGCCTTTGTCTATTATTCTTTATCACTTCATGGGATATTAACATTCTCTTCAAAGGAAATCTTCTATATTGAAAATCAAAAGGAGTATGAGAATAAATGTGCTGCAAAGAAGAGGAGATTTCAAGTGCTGGGGAAAAAGATGAAGCAAGCTATTAAAGGACTTAATCTTCAAGAATATGATGATGCCTCTCGAGAGACTTTTGCAAGTGACACAAATGAAGCCCTGGCTTCTCTGGATGACTTGCAAGAAGGACATGGGGAAATAAAACTGGATCCTGAAGATGCTATTGAAGTAGATAACAGTCATGATATAGATATCTTTTGATGTATTAGATAGTTCAGGGATCAAAATCTTTGTGATGTATATATATATTAATGTTCAGTTTTATATTATGATTATATCTTTTCATTAGTTGCAATAGTGCCTATTATGTCAATCGGTCATATGCTGAAAAGGGCCATTTTATTTCTCACTGCTGATACTTGAGTTTTCAGTTTGTTTCAGATCATGAATATTGTACATCTTCCTTTATTTCATAACTTCAGTAGACCCTTAACACCTAATGCACATTCTTGCATCTCAAGGTTAGTTTAATATTTTAAAAAAACCCTGAGTGCTCTCATTCCAGAGTAAAACTTATATATGAAACTGAATATAACTGCATGGAAACACTATTTCATTTAAGTAATAGTAATATGAAACAAATATCACTCTAACATATACTCTGGTATGGAAGCCTTTTAGCATGATCATTGTCTTCATGATAAATCTGGGAACACATTTTGACCCACAAGCCAGATGGGTATTCAGTGTGCTTGCAAGATATTTTAGATGGAACATTAAGGATGCTCTTCACAGTTGAAAAGATTGCTTCTAAAGGGGACATGGAATTGTCCAATTTGTCTACTGTTTTAATGATTAAACCTGAGGTTTTGTCCTATGAATATGAAGTGATAAATACTATATGTTGCATGCTTAGAGAACTTCAATTTCAGCTTTTGTTGACCATTAATTCTGAGAAAATCATATAAGCATGCAATAATTAAGACAAACCTTTCTCTTTTACAGTTCTTTCAGTTTTCAACTTATACCTGAGTTTTGTGCTAACACAATCCTGCATAAAATTAGTTGTACTAGGAGTAAATCACTTCAGTCAGTGAACCTTAAGTTAGTTGTGACTTAAGACTCATTGATATCAGATATCAGAAGAACACCTCAGTCTGAATCCAGCCAGCATAAATGGGTACAAAACTTGTCTCAGTTTCATTTTGTTTTGAAGTTAACAATTCTGAACATGGGAGCTAGCTATAAGATTTAATCTCCATTGTCATCCCTATTAATTACAATAATCTTAAAAGAACAGAAAAGTTAAGAAATCAAGCAACACATCTGTCTGAATTGTTGTAGTAGACTTATGTATCATATTTGTAAAAGGTTTCATGAGATTAGAGTAGAATTTGCAAAACTGGTTTAATTTTTTCATTTGTAATGTGTAAAAAAAATAAAAATTGTTGGCTTTTAAAATGTTGTGTTTATTCAATTTCCCCAACATTTTTAGGGATTTCCAGTTGGTCTTTAAGAAAACGAAAGAGATGGGAGAATAAAATAAACTCTGTGTTGTTTGGATTATTTTGTCAATATGTCAAACTTCAACACTGTGTAGTTAAATCCTTGAAGAACAGCTGCTTCTTTCAGTTATATAGATTTGTGTGTGTTAAATTCTCAGTTCAAACTTGCACAGTGAATTTCAGTAATGTTATTGTGAAAATAGGAGATGCCCCTGAGCAAAAATGTTTCTGCACTTTTATATATCAATAGCACTTGACCACTGAACTGCTATAGCAGTTATATTTTCCTCAACTTTTCTAGTCTTCATTACCGTATCCATTTTCCCCCTTCATGTATCTATTTGTTCCTGATTTATGAAGCCTTTGGGGAAGAAATAACTTATAAGTTGGTATATATTTTAGCAACTACTAGAGAAAATACAGCAGACCTGCCCTCCCAAAACTCCTAGTTTCTGATGGCCTTAGATACATAATCACTACCATCAATACTCATGTAGCATAGTCAATTTCTATAATGAGTAAAATTATATGTATTACAGCCCTATGTTCCTAAAAGTTTGCAGTAAATTTAGGTTGCTCTCATAAGAATGGGGGTGGCAGAAAGAGACCAGTAAGACATAATGTTAGAGACCCAAGTAAGTCCCTCTTTAGTAATGAAGCTTATTAACTCCTTACAAGTCACCAATAGACCTAAACTAAAGTGGAAGCAGGATTGTGTATGATAACTTTAGAGTAAAAGTCCTGTTGAGTCAGTTTGATCTCTCCCAAGACTAAGAACAACTGCCTGCTATCTCGACCTGTTTCCTCTGATAAGCTAGGTTTTGAAAAATTCCAGTGATCTTGATCCCATCCCCATATTCTCGCAATCAAGCATAGTGCTTGCATTATCCACCTGTATCAAAGTATGTAAACTTCTGCTTCCTCATCAACACTTCAAACAGTCAAATCTTTATTTTGATTTTGTTACATTTTAGCCATGTGTCTATTGAGAGGGCATTTCTCACTATAATTTGTGTCATCAACCTGACAATGGTTGATGCATCATAATCCCTGTCTTGATGCAGCTGCCAGTTTTCTTGATAGGTTACCAACAGCAGAGTGCAGCAGTTCCTGTAGCATGAGCAGCCCCAAAACTGACCCCCCTGAGGGGTCTAAAACCAATGTGATTTCCAAGGGAGTCAATACAGACCTAAGAGGGTAAGAGAGAAACTTCAGTCTGGAGAGAGATTTGGGGGGGACAAAAAAAAAAGTATCTTTTCCAGTGGCTATCAATCGAGTAGACGGGCTTTAATGTCCATTTTTTCCTCAAGTGGGTTATTATGTTTGCTTTTCAATTGCAGCGTTATGCAAATAAAAGAAACAAGCACAGCAAACCATTTAGAAATGAAAGATGTTGAAGTAAATAATTAAAGATGCACTGCGCCTGCCAAAAAAGCCAATTCTTTGTTCACTAATCCTCTTGGAGGATGTAAACAGGAAAGTACTTTAGAAATACTGAAAGCAAAACAAACACTTTTGATGGTTATGCTTTAAAGTGTCTTCTTGTTTTCTGAACAATGTGAGAATGCTCATTAATTACATGTTCATGTTCTAATAAGATGATTTAATAAACATACAGATTTCAATTTCAATCTGCCCAGTGCCCAACATCCTGTCCAGTATTAATCATTATAATTCATTTCTTCAGGGACCTTGGTACCCATCAAGACAGTTACATTGACTTTCAAAGATTATTTTCATGCATGTATGCAAATTATTTGTTAATCCTTCACCTGATTCCCAGCTAAACATTATGAAGTTTTAGCTGAACTCATGAATCAGCTATGCTTGTTTGTGCATGCACATCATCAACTGAATGCAGTACAGAGGCCTTTAGGGTATACTACATTAACATCAAGTTACAGCAGCATGGAATTTAAAAGCTGTGATGCGTTCTTCTCCATTGAAAAGCAACCTTGTGCCAATGCTTTTTTTATTTCCTTATTTGACTGTATTTGACTATATCAGTCCCATTTTTGCAAAATAAACATTGTTCTAGAGTAAAAAGCAGCCTATAAGCTAGGAAAGAACATTTATTTCCACTATTACATTTCCAGCATAAATTGCCCACTTTCCAGAGCACTTTACCATAGAAAATACAGTATTATTTTTCTTTATGAAATACTGTAAGGTGTAGTTTATTCCCTAAACCTTTAGAATTCATAAGAGGAATTTTTATCTTAATTATTGTTCTATTTTACTGAAAATTAGGACTAATGAGATAAAACACCAAAATGTTCTCATATGTACCATGAACATTTTTATCTTTGAAGAATAATAGGTAACAAACTCTTTCAATGTCTTTCTCTTTAATATGGTAAAAATTTTCCTTGAACTTAATTTCCAATGTTTGAAACAAAACAAAAGAATATAAATTAGAGCTTGCTGTGTCTGCTTTTGAGTGTTTAAAAATGTGTGTAATGTGATTGTGACTTTTCCATTGTCTCATCTAGTGGGATTGTTATTAACCTGAATGAAACTCAATAAAAAAATGTTGTTTTTCTAAAAAGTTCTTAAAGTTTTTACAAATAAAAAGGTAGATAGCTTAAACAGCCCATACTGTCAGAGAGGGAAACAGTGAATGATGAAAAGGGAAAATATATTTTACTTAAGGTGTAAATATATATCTATCTATTACAGGAGCTTGTAAAGCATTAGGTCTTCCTCCTAGGTTGCCTTAATGTGAACAATCAGTCTTTTTCTATCAAAATTAAGAAATGGTGGGGTTCTTCAGTTAAGGTAAAGCTGATTCGACATTTTTATCAGAGTTTCAAAGATTCAGATCTGAGTTAAGGCAAGTCACTTATATACATATTGGTGTTTGCTCATGTTTCAGTTTGGAAAAGATTAATTTGTCTAAGGACTGAATTTGGTGTGAATGATCAATAATGCAAAGAAATCATCTAGAGATGTGTATATGTACTTAGCAAAAGGGGAAATGATAGATTAGGACATTAAATTATCTTTGATAGGCATACATCCAATCCAGATGAATATGTTAAATTATTTATATTTATATATAACAAATTTGTCACCACCCATCTCATTAAAAAGCGACTCTGGGCAGTTTACAAAAAGATAAAATCAATTAAAATACAATAGAAAAAGAGTCTTAAATAAATAATAAATAAATTCCAAGAATGGATGGAATTGGCGAGTAGCTCAGGGAGCATCATCAGGGCATCAGCCACCCCCAGGATTGATTAGAGCTCTTATTGCCCCATGCCGGCTGGCACAGCCAGGTTTTTAGGCCTTTTTGGAAAGCTGGGAGGGTAGGGCCCACCGCACCTTTAGGGGAAAATCTTCCAAAGGGCAGGGCAACGGCAGAGAAGGCTCTCCTCCTGGGACCCACCAGCCAACATTCTCTCACTGATGGGGTCCACAATATGCCCTCTCTGCCTGACTGGGTGGGATGGGTTGATGTGATGGGGGTGAAATAGTCCCTCAGGTAACTTGGACCCATGCCATGTAGGGCTTTAAAGGTGATAAGTTGAATTGGACCCGGAAGCAAACTGGCACCCAATGCAGCTCCCACAGTAAAGGTGTTATATGTGCCATCCTTGGGGCACCCAAGATTGTGCACATAGCTGCATTCTGAACCAGCTGTAGCTTCCAGATACTCTTCAAGGGCAGCCCCATGTAGAGCACATTGCAATAATCTAACCAAGAGATTATCATTAAGAATTACCATTTTTTCTACATGATTTCTTCATATTACATCTGTGAATTTGAAGAGGTAACTTGAAATGAGTGTAGGAACAATTAAAGCATGTTGCAGACACTAATGAATAAAGACAGGCTTGATGATTGTGCTTGACTGGCACTATCACACATCTACCAAGACCCAGGAGCTGGAAGGAGAGCATGGAATATCAGCAGTAGCAGTGAGCAAAAGACACTGGGGTTGACATAATTTGATCCCAGCTGATTTTCATGCTCTTGGTATCTTCATGCTTTCTGTAGTCCTTTAGATCCAATATGGTAGCATATGGTTATTGCTCCTTGGGGCTAATCTTACCATGAGCTAAATGAGGTGGTAGATTTCGGGGGTCATGAAGCAGCAGCAAATCCCACCTGCCTCTTTTAAAGTCTCTGATATCAAAGATTTGCCTGGCTCATATTTGCAGGAAAAAGGGATGATAAAAAAAATTTCTCATCCTGCTTGACATTTTAATTTTCCAGTTTTAGCAAACAAAATAGCATCTATTTTTAATCTCTGTGCTATTGGCCAGACTCATGGGAATAGGAGGGGTTGGAGGGTGAAGAAAAGCAGTAATTATAAGACCACACATTCAGGTGGAGTGAAACCATTTTGGACTTTGTTGCAGAGGATGGACATTGAGCAGACCGTGCAAGGTGTGTGTACTATGTCCACTACTTGAGAATCACTAATAATTCAGTTTGTAAGCTGTAATGCAAAAATTAAATTTGTTATTTATTGAGCTATACTATGCATGCTGCCTATTCTTGTTGATAGTGAGCTTTTAGGTTGCAGAGTAAATACAGAAAATTATATTACTTTTTTGTTGAGCTTGCTGTTCAGTTGCCAAATGAAGCAGCGTGCATGTTCTTGCATCCTAGGAGGAAAGATGTCCAAGCTAAGATTCAGAGAAGTGTTGGG